AGAATCATTTGTTACATTATTTTGTCAATGTAGCTTTATCTACTAAGTTCCTAGTGCTTAATAAGTTGCAGTTTTTAACACAAGACTGTTGTACTTTGAAGAAATAAGAGATTGACCAGAATTACTGAATAAGGTAATGTAGTACATAATTCCAATAAACATGAAATATGTTTCTTTAGATTGAAGCAATTGAACTTCCAATGGATCCAAAGACCAACAAAAGGAGAGGGTTTGTATTCATCACATTTAAGGAAGAAGAACCAGTGAAGAAAATATTAGAGAAAAAATTCCACAATGTCAGTGGTAGTAAGGTAGGAATTTTGCTTATATATAGTGGATTAGAATCTATTCATTCCCTATATCTTGCTCATGGTTGGAAGGAGAAAAGTAAAGAATTACGCAGGTTTATTTTGAATGTGGAAACTATATAGGAAACAGACTAAATGAGTACAGTATATTTACTGTATAATTTTTTAGCCATGAGATCTGTTTTTGAACTACAGAATTAGAAACAATATCCAGATTAATTCCCTTTGCATGATCAAAAAGTTGAAGTAACATCAGCAATTGTAGATATTATTACAGTATACGTGGTTTTTTCCCCCAAAAGCGAGGGCTGTTTCTAGACTATTTATATACTGCCTATTTCACTTTTACATTATCCCAAACAAGTTTTAGTTGATAGCTAAATATAATTAGAGAAATACATAGTGCCCTACCATTAAATATGATTTAATGTATTAGGAAATTAATGAAAAACAGCTAGTTGTATGAAAGTAGTATATTAGTTAATTTACAATTTCATGAAAACAGCCAGTGGCATCTCAGACCTAGAAGCTATAGATTATTATTCCCCCAAAAAAGGAACATTAATGGCTGAAATACAAGGCTTATGTGGACCACATTTGTTGATGGAGTGTGGGAATAACATAGGCAGGAAAGGTGTAATTCGTAGATGCACAAATTGTATTTATATAATGCTGGTATACTACTGTTATTTGAATGTCTATCACACAACCTGGGTCACAATGTAACAGGCCTTTATCGCCCTTTTTATAGCTTCCAGAACTGTGATATGGTGCTAGATTTTTAGTTTTATTTCCTTTCTGTTTATAAACCAAAACTGCAAACTAGGGCAAAAATATCTTGCCAATGTGATATCAGAAATAATTCCCGTTGCCCCCAAAGTCACTCTTTAAAATGGAACCACTTTCAAAACAGGAAGTAATAGGAAGTATCTTTTGTTACTTTATAGTTTTTGCCCTGAACTAGGAGTATTGCTAGAAGGATAAAGGTTTCTTAAACAATGGATTTAAAATAAGCATTTTCTGATAATTTTTATTAATTTGCCTGGATCCTGTGATAGTAAGGAAATTAAACTGTTTTTTGAAAATCACTTGAATAACAAGACATGAAAACATTAATATAACACTAGGTGACTTAGCCAAAAATAGGAAGTTGCTTGATTAGAATATGGACTGCTTGAAACAGAAGAATATAAAAAAAAAACGAATAGTGGTATAATGTGAAAGCATATTTTAAGAGCAGAGCTTATAGCAGTGGAGCTAGAGTGCTGGAACTTTGGATGCTGCCAAACTTCAACTGCCAATAATTCCAATCATGAAAATGATGAGGGATGATGGACGTAATTCAATATTTTGGAGCCACATGTTGCCCTGTTTTGGGTTGTAGTCAGTGTCTAATGGTTTAAAACTCATGTGTTTGACATTGGATGAAAAATATGTATACACAGATAGTGCTTGACTAAGACCACAGTTGGGGCTAGAATTTCTATTGCTAAAGCAATGTGTTAAGTGAGTTGTGCCGGATTTTATTGCCATGATTGTTAAGTGAATCAGATGTTCATTAAGTGAACCCATCTTCGTCCCACTGACTGTGCTTCACATAACTCTTCAGATGCTGCAGGTATCATAAATATACTTGTGTTGCCAAGTTCCTGAGTTTTTGATCATGTGACTTTGAGGATACTGTGATTGCCATAAGTGTGTGGACCATTCCTAAATTATTTTTTTCAGTGCCATTGTAACAATGTTGTTAAGGACTATGGTGCACTTTTGGCTATATTTATGTGATATATTTAGCCATAGTTAACTGAACCATATTCTGCTTAACCTGTTTCCTGATTTCAGTCAGCATATGGAAATTTAATCGTGTAAACTGGGTTTATGCAGTTTGAGATACTAAAATTCAGTTTTGAAAGAGGTACTGAGTTTGTATCTTATGAATCCTAGTACAGTGTTAACTTCTATGAAGCAGAAGTATTCTCTAAAATATTTGCCCTCAATTTCATTATGTGGAAAATATTTTTGTAATCTAGATATTTGAACATTTATAACTTGTGGTATGTATATGTAGTATTGTATGTTAAGAACATCTGTTTTACATTATGATCTTTTCAGTGTGAAATTAAGGTAGCACAGCCAAAAGAAGTATATCAGCAGCAACAGTTTGGTTCTGGGGGCGGCCGAGGAAGAGGTGGAAGAAGAGGTATGTATTGCATTCAGTACTCTAGTATGGACAGATTCTAAAATACAGGGTTGTCTAGGTGATTTAGCTTTCTATAAAAGAAAGAGTTTTTGAATATAGGATGTAGCTGTCAAGACTGCAACTATTCAGTATATGTGTATTTTGGATGGGACTGGGCTACAGATACCTGCAAGCATGACTAAATACGAATTTAATGCATTTGATTGCTTACTTATAGGTCAAGGCAGTTCAAATTATGGGAAAGCTCCAAGACGTGGTCATCAGAATAACTACAAGCCATATTGATCAAAAGTATTCAGGTATGCAGTGGCATGCTCTAATGCACAAAACTACTGCATATGTTTTGTACTTAAATGCTGTAGATGGACATTACAATTATGTACCAAAATTAACTTTACAATACATTTCTATGGCCTGTTATGTGTATCTGAAGACTTCCCTGGAAATGTCTTTGTTTAATATTTACAGATAATAGTTGTCTAGAGAGTGTGGTGTGTAAATTTCAGCCTTGCTGAAGATTAATGATTTTATTGATAGGTTAAATTGAAATGATTTTGAGGGGTCTGCTTAAAGCTGCAGCTTCTGCATCTAGGGACTGCCCGTTGGAGTTAACCACATTATTCCAGTTGTACAGAATGAGATGCATCTTAGGGAACCAGTATCACTTTCCACCTTTTTATTTTGTATTGGTTTTGTGTCATACATTTCCTGTAATGGAAGTGTTAATTTTACTGTACTTTTTGGTACCTTTTTGGAATCTAATGTATTGTAAGGTATTTTACATGTGTTCTGATTCACCATGACATGGATATTGATGCTATTCTAGCTTTTGAATAAAAAAGCATAATACAGTATCCTGTGCCATTATTCCAGCTATCCTTTTGTAGCTCAGAAAAAAGAAGCCTTAGAATTTCATTAGAAATGGTGGCTGGTTGGATGCGTAAATTTTAAAACTTTGATTTAGAGCATGTTTTAACCCTAAAATTGATTAAAGACCAGCAAAGCTTAATTGTTTAATCACAAATGCAAAGTATTGTTGAGGTAGGAAAAACCAGGAAGCATAACAAGTATTATATTTCAGGCAAATCTTAGGATTAAGAATAGTGTATTATTGCCTTGCGTAGGAATAAAGGTCATAGGAATTTAGGAGTAAATTTATAGAATTAAATATCTAAAAATACTGAAGGGCTCAAGGCTGTATTTACACACACAAGACAATATTAGACATGCTTACACTATAGTCTGCTTTTTTGTATATGCAAGTTCAATTTAACTGCTTTCAAAATTTGAAAACATGCTCAATAACATGTACAAAACTCCTGGATGCTTATGTAGTACACTCATATTTGAACCTTCCCTAGGTTAATTGATCATACTTAAATCTGTCAATCTGACTGGCTTTTGTACTCTTATGTGTTTTATTAGTATTTAGAAATTAAACATTTCATGCTAAAATTATTAAGCAAATATTAAAGCTGCGTAAACATTGGATTTTCAGTACTGTTTCCAAGTTTTTTTCAACTATTCTATAGCTTCTTCCAAGCAATTCTGAGCTATTTTGTAGTCATGTTAATATTTTCAGTAGATAATAGGTGATAGCAGTCCTACTGTCAAATCTGGGTAAAGATCTTTAATGCACTATAAGTACATTACATTCTAAATTTAAGTTTCCAAAAATATATCTTGCCTTAGCTAGGTATAAGCTCAGAAGAACATCATGCATTTTTATTTAGAATAAAAATTTCTTGCTTAAATCAAAGATATTACAATGACACCTCTGTTTTAATGGAAGTTTTAATTACATGTGTAACAGCCATGGTTAAAACTAGGTTTGGAAGAGGAAGTTGTTTCTTATCCATGGGATAAATAATTGTTATGAACATACATTTTAATTGTATAATAATTGATATTAACTCCAAATTAGAACTCATTGTTTAAGCTCATAACAGCAGCTATCGACTGGTTCCAGCTATTTAATTCTTGACCATTTTTATATGGTAATCTGCATGGTTTGCTTGTCAGGGCATTTGAACAGTAACAAATAAGGCTTGAAAATGAAAATGAGTTTTGGTTTTGATAGTTAAATGTGTAATTCAGTCATGCTGAACTGTGCCCTCTTGTGAAATTAAAAGACTACTGAAAATATACCAAACTACTTACAAAGAAGTTGTCCACAATTTTCAAGATTTATTTGCTAGAATGTCAAATCCTACTAATTGAAGGCAAATTAAATAGAGTTCTTCTGAAGGTGAAACTATTAACTAATGCATTCCAGAACTTACCAGCTAGAGTGGTAGAAGTAGGTACTCCTATGTTTGAGTTCCCTCTGATCGGGGACAGCTAAGTCATATAGACATAAAATGACTATTATGCTCGTCTATTATAATCAGTTGGATATCCAGCAGGAGTTCCTGAAGGACATTTTCACATTACACTAGAATTACAACTATCTGTCTTCTCCCTGGCTATGAACTTAAAAGATCACATTTTTTTTCTCTGTAATGGATGTGATAATGGGCTTTCCACCCTTACTTGCTTTTGAGTATTTTAATATTGTTCTCATCCTGTTTGTCCAAAGAATGGAAATTTTATGACTGCTACAAGTGTAGATAGTTGAATACTACTAGTACTATATTTTGCATGTTTTGATAAGCCTAATTGTTTATTATTAATATGTAGCATAAAAGAGACTATTAAAGTTCTGTAAAGTACATTTTACCAAATTTTTCAAAAATACATTTTTATTTACTTTAAGTCATAGATCTTAGGGATTGAAACATCAGAGCCTGAAATAGCAAATATAAACAGGATTGTGAATTTTCTAGTGAAATATAGAAAATTAGCTATAGCTAAGAGAGGAAAGAAACTGGTGAAATAAGAGGTACCAATCTGATACTGTTAGACTGACAGAGACATAGCAGAACTATCTTTAGCGATGGAATTCCATCTCAATAGTACAGAAAAACAGGTAACATGTTTGAAGATAGCAGTTGGTAGACACTGTCCTTAGAAAATGGGTTGCTTTTCATTGGTTACATTTTTGGTATAAATACTTTTTGATCTATCAGTTTTTTAAAATAAACATTCCCCTTTATTCCTGAATTACTGTAATGGGAGAGCTATGCTTTCCAAATAAAACTAGGTTGTCAGTGTTGGTGACAATATTTCATAAATAAAGCATTTTTATGAGATGCTAAAAATCTTACAAAAAACAATTCTCATGAGTCTAATGTTTGGATGTTTTATTAAATAATGGATGCCTACCAATTTGTTAATAAAACATTGTGAAGAAAGCAGATTTATTAGATCAAATGTGCTAATTGTGATATAAGTAGAAATAAGTATATAGATCTGCAACCTGTATAGCACAAGGATGACCAGCTATATTTTCTGGATAAATTATGTTTTCCTCTCTACTACATTAAGAATTGCATTAGTAGACATAATAGCAATAGAGCTGAAAAATCACAAGCTGTATTGCTAAAAATAATGTCAGCAATATAATAAAACTACATAGACTGGATTACGAAAGCTTGAAGAAGGCAGAATTTTATTATTGTAGTTTTAAGTGTAGAAAAATGGTAGAATTCTGCACCACCCCTGAATCCTGTAAAAGATGGATAAAAGAATTCAGTATTCATATGGGAAAGCCAGCAAGTTAAAATTTTCATAATTTATGTTTGATACACTGCTGTTGAGACACTATTGTTAGAATATTCAATATATATCTATTCAGGATAATTAAATTAATAGCTTTTGCTTAAAGAATATGCTTTTTGTGTATAATAATAGTACATGAATGCTTACCTCTTATAGCCTTGGAAATCATCTTTAGGTTTTTCTTATCTCCAGTTCTGCAGAATATTCAATTAGAACATGATAGTTATCTGCCCATTATTCATGGGCCTTTATTACTATTTACATATAATCAGGAATGAAAATCCTTCATTCCCGTGGCACAAAAATATTCCTAGTGGTCTTTTGATTCAGACTCTTATTTATTTTCATATCCTTCCTCCCCCCAAAAGTTAAAATGAAAATAAGGATTTATTAAAGGTGACTATCATAAAGTTAAAAACTTTTTCCATTTAGACCCATGCTTGTTTTTTCATTACAATGATATCTATTTTCGGAGAAAAAAATTATTTGGTGCTAATTGGTGCATTCTCATAAAAGAGAAAAGAATTTAGTAGGAAAGTCATTCAGTATAGAAGAGTTTCTGTGTAATTTTGCATATGTAAACTGTACACACAAAACAAAACATACAGTAATTTTAGTCCCTTAACTGCCTCTTGGGATAAATAGCTGAGAAAGAGGACTGGCAAACTGATTAATGTTCTTAAAACAGGCTTTTAGACTGCAAAATCTTGGAACATTATTGCTTATGTATAAAATGCTTCATTTCTTAAGAAGGCTTAGCTCAATCTATAGCATAGGCAATCTGGCTTCAAAAATGTGTCATATAAACCGATTTTAAAGAGCTTTCTTCTATTTACCTCTTAATATCATATCAAGTTTATCAACAACTAACTCTGCATCCTTTGTATTGAAACACAGTGGTGGCTTGAACTTAAGCACATTTCTGCCTGGCCCATCTGTGCTCAGCATAATGAATTCTTCCTTTAATCTAGAGAATCAGAAAAAAATGGCTGATTTCAGTAGAAGTTATTTATTTGGATTAGTATGATCATATAAAATTACATTTACAATTATATATGAGCTTTATCCATTCTTGGGCACAATAGGAGTTTCGGCAGAAACTTGGCAGAATTTGACGTTTTTCTTAAAAACCTATAGGCTTTGAAGACCTGCTTGGAGCATACACTCTTAGTGGCAGTGGGACCCTGCATGACCAAGAAGCTTACATGTTCCTAAATACCTTTAAGCTGGAGATGGAAAAATCATAAGGCCTCCTTTAAAGTTACCTTACCTCATTATGTAAGCATGGCTTTCAACATGTGGTGGCTTCCATTACTGGAATGACAACCAATCTGAAAGGATTAATTACTCTTTTCATGAAGCTTAGGGTTGAGCATTTGCATTTTTGCCCTTTGGGAGGAAGCCCTCTTCAGCCTTGACTCAATTTCCTTGAAACAAGGAGGATCTTATTTCTTTATCAGCTTTACTAACTGAGCTGATGACAGGACAATGGTGTATAGTAGACCAAATCTCAGAAAATGTTCGCTGCTGCCCCCCACTCCTTCCCAAAAACCTACTAATAAGTTAGTTGAGGAATAGGATGCACACTTCAATTGTTTTGGGGGAATGATTCTTATTTCAACATAATCAATAAAATCAAGATATCCAACAGTGGGACCTGGAACTGCAAGACCAGTTCCATGATGTGGTCCGGTTCTAAGTTAAAACACAGATGTGGATCACCTGTCCAAGGTCAGATCACATACAAGCCCTTCCTGAGATGAAGACTGTTCTATAAGTTGCTCACACAAGTGCTGATAAAAAGCAAGTGCAAAAATGTAATTGCCCACAGCCCTAAGAAATACCAGATTACAGAGAAAATCCGTATCTGATTGTTATAGCAAAGATTGAGCAGTACTTTTCCACCCCCTGAAAATAGCTTGATGGCCCTGCAGCTTACAACCACTATGACACAGCCCTCTTAAACCCACCAGAGGAGAAAAGTCCAGCAGAAAACATGCCTTCTAATAAATAGGTTTGATATGTATAGGATTCCACTAATATCAAGCTGGTGTATGTTGTAGGATTGAAGAGAAAAATCTCTACCATGTCCAGGTATTCAAAAGGATGTTCCAAGCCACCAAGAATTGACAAATGTCAGAACCATAAAATGGATACCATCAAAGTAACTCCTGTCAGGATTTTTCCCCATTTTATTCATGGTTCCCAAAAGGGATTGAAAGTAGAGAATGGTATTGAACCTTAAGGGTCAGAATGAATCCATCAGGTTATGAAGGTTTTAAATGGAAGCAGATTACAGCACAGGATATCCTGGAGTTGATTTGCTTAAAAAAAGCAAAGAGGATCAATGCAAATTTCCTGCTTCCAAGACAGAAGAAATTGAGGCTTTGTAACTTCCTGCCCTACTCTGTGTTCCTACCAACACGGACACGCATCAGCGGGGAAGCAACTGACCTGGAAACCCTCTTGACCTGTTGGAACTAGCTGAATGGGCCCAGTAGTTGACACACTCCTTCCCTCAAGATGCCCAGCTGCCGGAGTGATACATCCAAAGAGAAAAGCAGAATCTAGGGAATCATAGTAAATTGTACATTGCATGTACAATTCTGCATACATAAAGGAAAAGACAAAGAGGTATGAAAACTGCTAAGTTCTCTATCTAGTTCACTTGTGAAACATGGAGATACTGCCCATAGACCATTTCAGGAGATAGGTAAAAAAGTAAAATGGGAAGTTCTAATCTCTCTTCCACTACCAATAAATTAAACTATAATTAAACTGTCCAAGCAAATAAGTAAAACATCTCTTTTACCTTGTTATGATGAATTCTGCTTCTTTGCTCGCAGGTGATCTTTTCTCTTGGTCTTGTACTAAATCTACACCAATAAATAATCCAACACCTCTGTAAAAACAAGGTAAAACATGAAGTTACAGTTAGAATAAACATCTGTAATTTGGGGCTGCTAAAAATTGTGCTGACAAGTATATGCTGCTTATATTAAATGGTAAATGTTTTCAAATTGATACCTGATATCTCCAATTAGAGGATGTTTAGCTTTTTGTTGATTGAGTAGTTCCATAAAGAAGTTTCCCACGTGAAGAGCATGGGCTTGAAGCTGCTCTTTCTCAATAATATCCAGGACTGTTAGGCCTATTGCACAGGACACAGGATTTCCTCCAAACTAAATGGGAGGGAGAAATAAAAGTAAAAATAAATTTTCTACACAAAATTGTTTGCCAGAAAGCAAGTACCATATTCCAGTCAGAATTTTATATAATGTACAGGTGAAACTCGAAAAATTAGAATATTATGCAAAAGTTCATTTATTTCAGTAATGCAACTTAAAAGGTGAAACTAATATATGAGATAGACTCATTACATGCAAAGCAAGATAGTTCAAGTCGTGATTTGTCATAATTGAGATGATTATGGCTTACAGCTCATGAAAACCCCAAATCCACAATCTCAGAAAATTAGAATATTACATGCAATCAATAAAACAAGGATTGTACATAGAACAATATCGGACCTCTGAAAAGTATAAGCATGCATATGTACTCAGTACTTGGTTTGGGCCCCTTTTGCAGCAATTACTGCCTCAATGCGGCAGGGCATGGAAGCTATCAGCCTGTGGCACTGCTGAGGTGTTATGGAAGACCAGGATGCTTCAATAGCGGCCTTCAGCTCTTCTGCGTTGTTCGTTCTCATGTTTCTCATCTTTCTCTTGGCAATGCCCCATAGATTCTCTGTGGGGTTCAGGTCAGGTGAGTTTGCTGGCCAATCAAGCACAGTAATCCCACGGTCATTGAACCAGGTTTTGGTGCTTTTGGCAGTGTGGGCATGTGCCAAGTCTTGCTGGAAAATGAAGTCAGGATCCCCATAAAGCTCATCTGCAGAAGGAAGCATGAAGTGCTCCCAAATCTCTTGGTAGACAGCTGCGTTGACTCTGGACTTAATGAAGCACAGTGGACCAACACCAGCAGATGACATGGCTCCCCAAATCAACACAGACTGTGGAAACTTCACACTGGACTTCAAGCATCTTGTAGTGTGTGCCTTTCCATTCTTCCTCCAGACTCTGGGTCCTTGGTTTCCAAATGAGATGCAAAAGTTGCTCTCATCAGAAAAGAGGACTTTGGACCACTGAGCAACAGACCAGGTCTGTTTTTCTTTAGCCCAGGTAAGATGCTTCTGACGTTTGTTGTTCAGGCGCGGCTTGAGGAATATGACATTTGAAACCCATGTCCAGGATCTGTCTGTGTGTGGTGGCTCTTGATGCACTGACTCCAGCCTCAGTCCACTCCTTGTGAAAGTCCCCAACACTTTTGAATGGCCTTTTCTTGACAATTCTCTCCAGGCTGCGGTCATCCCTGCTGCTTGTGTACCTTTTTTTCCACACTTTTCCCTTCCACGTAACTTTCTATTAATGTGCTTTGACACAGCACTTTGGGAACAATTTCCAATTCACTCTTTTGCAATTACCTTTTGAGGCTTTCCCTCCTTAGGGAGGGTGTCAGTGATGGTTTTCTGCACAACTGTCAGGTCAGCGGTCTTTCCTGTGATTGTGATTCCTACTGAACCAGACTGAGAGACCATTTAAAGGCTCAGGAACCCTTTGCAGGTGTTATGGCTTAATTAGCTGATTAGAGTGGGACACTTTGAGCCTAGAATACTGAACCTTTGCCCAATATTCTGATTTTCTGAGATTGTGGATTTGGGGTTTTCATGAGCTGTAAACCATAATCATCTCAATTATGACAAATCACGGCTTGAACTATCTTGCTTTGCATGTAATGAGTCTATCTCATATATTAGTTTCACCTTTTAAGTTGCATTACTGAAATAAATGAACTTTTGCATAATATTCTAATTTTTCGAGTTTCACCTGTAGTAGCAATCCAGTAAATACCTTATGCATGAAGTATATTGAATACATGTGACACTCAAACTAAGATGCATTTTAGAATGAAAATGTGGATGCTTACTGTGTTGAAATATTCTACTCCTGTTGCTGAAAATGCCTCTGCAATCTCCTTCGTTGTTGCTACACAAGCCACAGGATGTCCATTCCCTATTGGTTTTCCCATAGTAACAATATCAGGAATAAAATCCTCTCCCTGAAGTTGAAATGCCCAAAAATGTTTGCCAACTCTGCCAAAGCCAACCTGAATTTCATCAGCAATAAATACACCTCCTGCTGTATGTATATGCCTATTAAAAGGACAAGAAATATATTTATGCAGAAATGGAACAGAACTTATTAAATCAGTACTTCTGAACAATTTATTTAGGGTTAAAACAATTCACTCTTTCCAAAATTAAGCAGCAGCAATCAAAAATAAAACTCCCACCAAGGATAATTAAATATTAAGTTAAATCATTTCAGTTTTAATTACTGAAATCTTTGGGAACTAAAACTGGATCTTGCAGAAGTTAAACATCTAAAAAGTCCTTAAACTTGGAAGTTTACTTTAAACAGAAAATCTATTAAAACAGTTTAGAATAAATAGAAAAAAGATAGAAAGTATGAATACTTACTCTGCAACCTTTTGGAAATAACCAGATGGTGGAATGATTTGTCCAGCAACGCTTGGCAAGGATTCTGCAAAAAGTGCAGCAAACTGAAAGTGTATATAATATAATTAGTAGGTGGTGTATACATAATACATATATGCATGTATCTGCCTTTTTGGATATATTAAAGCTTCTAAATCAGAAGTCTTAAGTACCACAGTTGAGTAACAACTACTATAACACAGAAGCCTTAACAATCCAAACAACAGTGTACATTTGAACTTTTTTTTCTTCCCAGGAACTATGAGTTATAGCCAACAAAGTGATGTTCCACCACTCAGATTCTTTAGGATGCAAGAACATTACTCAATTTTGCTTAGGCAGTTGTCTGGAGCAAAATGTAAAAAATTATAATGAATGAAGCTGAATACCACACATTTTTTAATTGCTACAAACACAGAAGAAAAAACTCAAACTCCACTAATGGCACACTGGATAACTGACTAAATTCATGTCAGTTAAAAAGAAACACCAAATGATAATTACAGAAACTTTAAAGACAGTTTTTACCTTTCTGCTTTCTTGGTGTGCTTTGTCAATAATTTTTTTCACTTCATCAGCATATGCTGTGGCTGGATCTTTATGATTTTCTCTATATAATCCTCTGTATGTATCAGGAAGAGGAGCCTATTCAAAATAAGTGTAATAGCTGATTAGACCACTTGGTTTTAGGTGAATTGGAAATTAACAAGAAAAGGGTTAATATAGTCTCTTATGCCTACCACATGGACCCATTCCTTTTGGCCATCTAGATTTCTGAATTTGTATGGACTTATGTCAATCAAAGATGTCAGATGTCCATGATAAGCACTTAAAACAAAACACAACAATCCACAGAAATACATAAATTCTACCTTGGTTTAATAGTAATACCAGAAAATTGTACACATCCAGACTGCCAAACTGAAGCACCTACTTTCTAATTTATAACACTTTTAAATATCTCCGCTGATGTCCTAGAAAGCAGTTCCCATAAAGATACATTTTCAAAATTCTACTCTGATTATCTGTACATTAAATGCAAATTGTAATTCAAAATATGGTCTTTGGGATCACGTACACTGAGCTTTGAAACTAAATGGATGTACATAGATTATGAATTCAGTTTGTTTGATCTTGGCTTCTTGGAAGAATAGCAGGATTCAAGTTAAAAAAACACGAGTTTTAATAAACTTACAATACTGATAACCTAAATACTTCTTAGTATGAAATATAGGTTAAATATTTGGTATTTAAAAGTTCGCTTCAGAAACACAGAGTTTGTGATTCCAATTACTATTGAGAGAAAATAAGGATTATTGAGCCAAACTAAACAACTTCTGTTAATTATAAAAGCATGTTCTTATAGTTTTCTAGGGAACAGTATTAATACTCCTTTGTCATACTTCTTTAAAGGCTTCCTAATCTAACCTATATCCGTCAGATTACCTGGCAGCATTTTCCTGTCCAAGTTCTGGGCACGATCCTGTTTAGATTTTTCCAAGTTCAATTAAAGTTGATAGTGCTGATAGTGAATTGGACATACAATGTGATATAATGCTATTTAAAACGTATATACTTACTGGTCAATAACAATAACATCTTTATGCTTTGTATATTGCTGTGCCAGTCTCAGAGCAAGATCATTAGCTTCTGATCTGTAATGGAAAATTCTGAGGTTTTCTCATTGTTCATATTCAGTCATCTATATGTAGTTTCATATGTATCAAGTAGGGGCATACTGGTATGGAAATATGACCAGTGTTAGATGTATGTAATTTTTTAATAAACTTTAGTTGAATGGATAAAAGAAAAATATATGGATACAATGAACATAATTTTAAAAGAGAATTTTACAGTTATTTATATGCAGTGCTTCATTACAGTTGCCTAATACATGTACGATGAAAAGCCTTTTGATTATAGAAAATAAGGAAAATATGAATGTCATTGGTTCCCCCCCAAATAAAAAAAATTAAATGGAAAATGCATTTTCATTCATTCTGACTAAAGGAACAAATACTGAAGTAATATAAACACCAAAGAAGCAAAGATGTTGATTATCCTGACAAACAGTTCCATGAGGAGATAACAAATTTCTTGTTCTGCAAGGAAGGTATAAAGATGCCTGTATGATCTATTGGTTTAAGAAAAAAAAAACACCTACCCCGAATTCAAAAAATAGAAGGTACACAACTTCTCCGGCAATGTTTTAGAAAGTCTCTGTGCATAATCCACCAAATTGTCATGCAGATACCGAGAGTTTGTATTTAGCAGTAGATTCTGCTGATGAGCTGCTTTGACCACTTCAGGATGGCAGTGCCCCACTGAAAAATAAGGATGGGAAAATAGCAATTTAAATGAGCATTCATGCCATTTTTGAGGCTTATGTATATAATTCCTCACTTATTTTATTTCCAGCCTAATCTTGGGAAATCAAACGCAGAATATTTCATGATGTCAGTTCAGTTACCCAGATATACTTTCTAGGGGTGCATTTCCATAGGAAGGTAGAATGGCCTATTTTGTCTTGATCACCCAAACTTTTAAATACCAACTATAGCCTTTATTTTTCTAAATGATTCTGTCTTGAATCATCGTTAGCATATTTATTCTTACTCTGCAGGGTTTGAATTAAATGAATGGATGCAGAATGGATGTCTATGAGAGCAAACACAGGGCACATAAAGCTACCACTGCGGTTGGATGATACGGACAAGTTAAAGTTTAAACCATGGAAAAAAAAAGAATCAAACAGAAACATTTTGACAGTTTAGAAAGGATTGGAGTTAAATTTACCTGACTACACTGACTAGATCTAAAAAGAGAGTTTACTAAAGAGAACATAATTTCACACTTGCCATGAGCAACATTATTGATACAGTCAAGGTACTGGTTTCCATTTTCATCATACATATATTGGCCCTTTGCCCGGATGATCTTCACTGGGTCTTCTGGGAAAAAAAGCTTGCAGGATGCCCTTTAATGAAGCATTTAAAAAAATTAAACTTAATTTGAACATTAAATTTTTTACCATTAAATAAAAAATGGTTTAATTAGTTACAATGATAGAGTAATCCATCCATTTTAATCAAATACTAAGGAAAATGTTTTTGAACTGAGTATAGTCTGTCATGCCTGGTTGCAAGTAATTTGAGCAGCTAAAAGTTGCTTTAATTTTTAGGATGATTGTATCTCTGAATACAATCCTTTATAATTGATATGTGGAAGTCTTAACAGAAGTGCAAAGTCAGAAACATGAGGTGACATTTGTAATGCGTATTTGTAGGAGATGTGACAGTAATATAAAATTTTGCGTTCAATTGTGCTTGTAAGTTGAGGACTATCTGTACTGAAAATATTACTTGTTCTTAATAACATTTGCAGCCAGTTACAGCTGTATTGGTTCCCGAGACAATGTTTCACAATAGACTTCTGGAAATCAAGTGAAGAGGCTTGGTGGATGCAATGACTACAAGATAGGTAGAAGTGGGATTCCCTATTATCTATAGCCTGAGTATACAAACCTGTTGGCTTGCCTAGGCCAGTTTTCGCTTGCCTAGCCCACTGAGTTGTCAGGAATTGTCTTTCGCCGCATATCGGATATATACAATAGTTAATGTGTATAAATCACATACATTATGGGGTCCCATTAATTGCTGTCGAGGGCTACATGCAGCCTATGGATCATGTTTTGGAGATGCCTGATCTGTTTCAAGCTCCTATGAGACCATGCTTTACTGCGCCATTAGTAATGAAAGGAGTTGTGCAACTTTCAAGCCAGGCCAGCACTGCAGGTTGTTTTTTAGTGTGCATGCCCCTAATACAAACATTCTGATTACAGTCATTATGCCTTAACAATACTTGTTGGTGCTGCCAAGAGCAAGAGATTTACAGAGATGTACCTTGAACTGTCCTTGTACTAGAAGGACAAAACGTCTGGTAGTTAAGTTTACTTGCGTCAACCCTCATATATCTAAACAAACCAACCACTGGGTTTTCAAATCAGATACACACTCAATTACACAATTATAATTATTACAAACAGAAGAAATTTTCTGCTCGTCCCTCGGGGAAGCACGCCGCCTAGACGCTAGCTAGACCATTTTATATTGCCGACTCCAGGGATTGGGGAAAATCCTCGAGACGGAGATAGAAATCAATCCGGGCAGCGCGGGGCAATCGGGTTGATCTCACGGGGCCCAATAGCGGATCTACGCAGCTGCCGCCTTTAGAGCTGTCCTTGCAGGACGAGCCGAAAGAGCAAGGCTCCCGCGGAGAGGAAGGTTCCGCGCCAACCGCGAGCAGCGGAAGCTTGTGTTGCTGCGACTGCTCCCCGTTGACTGCGGGGTGGGCGGAGTGGGTGGGCGTCTCACACTTTACGACGCAGGATGGTGGTCTTTTCAAGGCCGGGCAGACTTTTTTTTTTCATCCGCCGCCGAAGTACCTACCCAATGAACTGCTTCCGTAAAGCCAGAGTCTGCTGGCGGTTGCGAGGCTCGGAGCTCATGGCTGTCTGGGGAACCGTAGAGATAGAAAAGGTTAGCATAGGAGGAATCCACGGGCAAATCCGCCCTCTCGTGCCTTTTGCCACTCGAGTGAGGCACATTGATAAGAATCGCGCCAAAGCCCTGCGTTCTCCCCATTGGTCGGCATTTGGAGCGCGGTGGCTGAGGTCGCCGCGGAGGAGTCCAGTTGAGGGTTTTAACTACCTTGGCTGAGTTTGGAAACAGAAACGTTTTCTCAAAGCTTGAGCCAAACTGAATCTACTGAAAGCTGTTCCGACCTCCTCCAAAATGAAGGGAGCCCGAAGAAAGCGCGCGTCTTCTCTACTAAATTTTGGTAGGATTTGAGGGTCGAAAGCTAACTGCCTTGGAAAGCGTGTTTTTATCAAGGCGCTCACTCAACGTTTATGGGCCGGAAGCGAGCGAAGCGCTTCGGTCGAGTACATTACCACGCGGGACGAGGAGGAAGGCGATTTAAACTATTGCCAATTCTTGCGGGTCCAGGTTTTAAGGCCGTATCGATCAGAAACAGTTCAAGTGGTCGAGAGTTTTCCCTTGTTAAAAGCGCTTCATTGAAGGGCTGCATTAAAGGCGCCGCATCTTTGCAAGAAGCAGCAAAGTCACCTTTCCTAGAGTTGTGCATCTTCTCACCAGTAAAGCGGAAAATGAAGGGAAAACACGCTTGCACAACACTGGCAAATGTGTGACGTGGTTACTCGCAATCCTTGCAGCCGCCCTATATGGTTGCAAGGGTTGCGTTCCCTACCCGACGACTTGCAGCGCAGATCCCTTAATCAGACCCCATGACCAGTAGTCATTTTACATAAATTGTACCGCCATCCGTTTATCAGGCGCCAACCTGGGCAAGGAATCTAGTAATATTTTTTATACTGCAGGTACTAGAACTAAGCAATACTAATCTAATTTGACAGGCGATCTCTGAACAGACAACGTTGTTCTTTTTGATTAACTCAAGCTGCAATTCTCAGTGCGCTTACCTGGAAATAAATCTTACAGAACGAGGCGACTTACTTTTGAGTAGATTTGGACAGAGTTATACTGCCTGTTTCTTTGCTGGGCTGGCTGTGCAAAATGGCAGTTGCCGAAATGCTCCAGGCTGGCAAAAATCTGACGAAGATTTTTTTTAAAAAAAAGTAGGACGGGGTTAAACAGAAAGTATATCTGGAGCTGTCCTCCACAGTTAAACTCTTCCAGCTTTTCTGCAGGAAATACAAGATCCAGGCGTGACATACTGATAAAAAGGCAACTCTGGCGCATTATAGTTGTATCACTAAGATGATTTTTTTTAAAGTAGGAATGCCTCCCCCATATTTGGTACTGGGAAATAACCCAGCACCGTGGATGTTGGTGATTTATTTTCTTTGAGAGGCATCCCACAAGACTGTTTGATTAATTTACATCAAAACTGTATATCTAGAGATAAGCAAATTAATGCCTTACTCACCAATTTCAGAAGACTTAATTTAATGTTTCATCTTTCTTGCACCACAGCTCAGGGATTCAGGGAAATGGCATTTTCTATCAAAAATTGATTTCTCAGTAATACTGTAGTCTATCTTGATACTCCTGGCCTTACTTAACATTTGCTTATGGTGATACCATACTTGCTTTGGAGCAAAGATTAGAAATTTATTGATATATTTTCTTCATATAATTTTGACTTAAGTCAAGAACTAAGCAAAACATCAGCATTTTATGTGCCAGTGAATTGGAAAATACCTTTGCACAAAAACCATTTATCTCTTGTTTTACGGTCTTGTCTTATGTACAAATTAAAACAAAATGGGAGACAGCATTTAAAACTGGTCCTATTTGAACTTTAATCCATCTCACCAACTGACCCAAAATTGTGATGTTGAAATTTGCTGGTGTGGGATGATTCGGGAGAGGCTTCTGAGCAGGGGTTTGTTCCAAGGGTAGAAATAAGAGTCATTTGCCTAACAGAACTCTCCTTTTCTCATACCCAAATGATTGCATTTTTGGAAGAATAAAAAAGAAATTTCATGACTGTATATTACCATTTTTTCTCCAAATTTTGGAAGAAATAATTTTAGAATACCATGCCTTGCCCACCTTTGAATAAAACAGTTTAAGGTTTAGTATATTGTAGAAATATATCCAATTGCTCCTTATTCAACATAGGAGAAGCCAGTGTCATATAATAATTGAGGTGTGGTTATAGGACAATAAGGTCAAAGTCCTTCCTTAATGAAACAATAAAAGATTAATAATGAACTTTGAACCAATCAAAGTCTTTCAGTCTATCTACCTCTCAAGATTATTATGAGTAAAATCAAGAGGATAAAATATTACTGTGTCCAAGAATTATGCACACTTTAAAACTATTTAAGTGTTTTGTATCTGGTAAAAACATCACTCCTCTGGAATTCATTAAAGCACAGATTTTTGTTTGTCTGTGCAAGCTTGATAAAAGATGCTTCTGTTCTAGTGAATCATGTCAATACAGCACTATGTCTTTAAGGCAACTCTTAAACCATCTGCACTTTTCTTCCAGAACTCTGCAGAAAACCATTACTGCTTCATTGAGTAGAAGATAATTATTTATATGATGTCCAGAGCACTTCTTGATGACTTTTGAAGTGTGATTACCTTGAACACCTGGCTAAAATGGTGTAATATACATTTAATCAATAGCAAATAAATCTTGGTAAGGCAAAAATGTATTTTAACATGTTGTGTGAACAATCCCATTATATATGTGCCAGGTTACTAGAAGCTGCTATTTCACCTGCAAAGTGCTCTGTAAAAATGGGAGCCATGTATTGTAGTTTTGATTTGAATTTGTAGAACAGAGGCAATTCATATTATGTAAGAATTTTATTTAAAATCATGACTTCTTTTTGGGTGGGTAGGGATAGAGTATACAGAGATACAGTGAAAATCCCAGCTATGCTAATGTTCTCCGTTGTTTTCTGTGGGTAACAATTTTATTTTCTGGATTAAATTAGTTGTCCTCCATGATGCTCTTTGTCCCGGTTTACCTTTTTTTTCATGTGTAATCAAATCAAACAATCTTTATTATAGTCTTTCATTAGCCTTTACAATAAAATGAGTACAGTAAGGGGTTAGCATCCCTTAAAAATAATAAACATAAAATTGATAAGTGGGCCCTTATATTTGAATGACTGGGATAATCAGAGTACACCTTAGAGGCTTAGAGCACCATATGAGGACTGAGTAAAAGTTCTGCCTCTCTGGATCTACAAAAGCAAACTCTCTGCAAATAAGAAGTCATATGAAATTTCCCCCCCAGCAGACTTAATGAGAAGGCATCAAAGCGAGATGTGGAAATGGCCCATCCATAATAACTTAAGATTGTGTAGTTACCCTGCTTATGCCTAACATTTAGCGATAGAATTCAGCAACGCTGATGATGTCATTTTGACAAGCAATGCCCCTGATTCCCTCTTTTATTATTGATTTGGCTTTGTCCGGGGTTAACTGGCCAAATATTCAGGAGAGAGACCAAGACTGAAAAGTTCTGCTATACCGATGTGGTGCCAATGACAGATTTGACAGCTGTCTTGACAGCAGCAAAAGCATCAGGCCTGTAACATGGTCCTGAGATTAGAAACCTAGTATAGGATTCTGGCTTATATTTCCAGGAATTTTATTCCTTTGATCCTGAGAGACTCAAGGTTGACTTAGCTTTCCATCATTCCGAGGTCCGTAAAATGAGGATCCAGTTAGTTGAGGGGCAACTTGCTGACTCTGTAAATTGCTTATAGAGGGCTGGAAAGCACTGTGAAGTGGTATATAAGTCTAAGTGCTACTGCTCTCTGCAAGCAATGAATGTGCTGTTTCTGCTTTAGGTACCTCTTCCCCCTCCTGATCTTTCTTAGTTTCCCCTCCCCTCTAACAATCTGTATAGCATTGGATAATATGCTGCTGAGATTGTGCTCTGCTTTACTGAAGATTTTTTTGGATAGGGAACCTCAAAGTTAATCCAAGCCTGTCCCTATCATTCTCCTTGGAGAATGGTTGGCGCTGTTTGGATGAACAACATGTATTACTATTACTATATAAGGTGATTGAGTATTATCTGATGTAAATGAAATAATCTTCAAGTAATTATTTCAGAAATATAGGCCTTGTTAATATAACATTGTTTCTGGATTGAACATATTTAACACTTATTTTTACTTGAAATTCTTGTTTGATACATAACTGTAGTTACAAATGCTGCAGTATAGAATAATAATAGAAAACAATCTCTACAAGAAGCAGTTTATTTTAAAACTGTTCAAGTATCACTCTTACTACAGATTAAAACACAAAACAGTGGATACACTGCCAGATATGCAGTGATGTAAAATTTACAAAACAAACAATACAATTCTTAATAATGAGTAATACTGTATTAATGCCTTCATTTAAAAAATAATTGTTCCCCTATATTACAGCTAGATATACCACTTCTTTTGTCATGTACACATTAGAAATTATACAATGAAATCAGTAACAGCGAGATATGACTTGTATAAAATATTACCCTCTTTGTTTTGAAACAAAGCTTTACATTTTATTGAATCTCAGAAGAGGGTTTCCAATATAAACATGAATTACATTCACAGTTATGTTTGCCTTGTATCTGTGTCTAATTATTTAATATGTTGAGACTGCACAAAATAAAATGTACATGGTCAATTAAAAAAATCAGATACCATATTTATATTATACCTATTCAGGTTAAGCTGAAATGAAGGAAGTTTGAATTAATGCATCTTACCCTGACAGTTTAGATATTGTATCCACCTGCCATGACCGAATTCAACTTCCTGCAATTCTCAAATCTACTTGAGAGATTTGGGAAGTGGAGGAAAGAAACTCTCCAGGATATATTTGGAGAATGTGTGATGGAGAAGGACAAAAATAACTTCCCTTGCATGCATTGCTGGTAATGAGTTAGATATAGCCAAGGTAGCCGCTTAACACATTCTCAAATCTGGACTAGAAGCCAGTCCTGTGACCTGTACTACCTGAACATCTGGGCCTGCCAGTATTGAGGAACAGACAATAGCATCTGGAAGGGCATGATTCAGTAACAAGTAACTGGGATGCTTATCCATCTATCCATCCATCCATTCATCCTTATTTTCAAGAGAGTCACTAGATCCTCAGGAGATACAAGTAACTCTTGTTGGATCTGCATGCCAGGACAAGATCTGATTCACCAAATCCATCTGAATTCCTATCAGCCTTATTAGCCAGTTATGGATGCTGTAGACAGAAGTTATAGTCCAACAGCCTCTGGCTTTAGGCAGTGTATAGTGCTGATGAGTTGTTATTAACAGCAGTAAATTCTCACACCTGCCAGGGCTATGCTGTCATTCCTGTTCATATCTAACGTTTTATATTGAGGTTTCCTTAGAAATCTAAAGGGCAAATAAGTGGGATTTAAATCTAATTTCAGCTGAACTGTAAAAGAAACAAAAGGAAGAACAATTATTTTTGTAGTTACAACAATGTGTGGAATAAATGCAAAAGGTTTGCAAAACATTATGAATAAATTGATTTGTGAGACATTCCCCTCCATTTTAGTCCTACATTTATTAATCAGTAGTTGAACTTTAGATCAAATTTGGAATTGGTTCAAAATATTTTTAATGCGTTGTTTTGGGTTAAAGCTAATCATGGCTTAACACTGTATTGAGAAAATAGACATGATAGAACCTAAATTAAATGTTATCAAGTCTGTACACTCTTCAGCATGGGAATCTAAATCATGTTTACTATGCTTTATCAATTCTATTTTTTCAATAATAAGACTATTGGGGATTAATTTGCACTAGTTATGAATAGATAATATATACTTAATGCATTCAGAGCTACAGTACAGTCAGGCTACTCGTTGACTTAGTAACATAGCCCACAATATTGGTCATAAGGGTCATAAAGCAGATCACCACATAACTGACTAGTTGCAAGTCAAGGACCTCTATCTGTATATGTTTTACAGCTCGCTTGTGTAGTAAAATAAGATCAACAGTTACCTTTGGGTAAGTTTTTATTTATATAAATGCCTATCACTCCAAATTAATTTAGTCAATAAATGTCAGTTACTGAGTATGTTCTGTATTACCAGAAGATAACGCTGAATAAGTATATAATTATTCTATTACAATATTAACTTCACAGGACATTAAAACGAAAGACTTTTTGAGAATAACTAATTCAATAGCATTTTTAGATGAGAGTGACTACACTATAATTTAGATATTATATAAAGGCTAGTTGGACTAAGTGATTGATATGTTCAAAGATTATCCCCAAAAATGAAAACTGTAAGATGGTGCTACAAACAAGATAAATATGTTGTCTGGGTGTTAGTTAACATTTCTCATTCTCCAAGATAATGCCAATGTTCATCATCTTCAGTTCTGCTAACATCTAGTGGTGATTTACCAATTTAACTATCCTTACATAGAATAAATAGGATATTTCTATTCATCTTTTATTATTTTCAATTATCCATATTAAACATATAATATTGCTAAATGAGGGTGTACTCAGGAAGAATCGAAAAAATGTCAAGATGATGGCCACCCCAAGGAAGGAATCAAAATCACCTTTTATATGCCTTTTTTGTGTATTCACCATTTTAATTGTTTTGCCCCCCCCAAACCAGACACTCATCCTGATAAATATTTTTAAAAGAATATCCAAAGAATCATTTTTTCCATAACATTTTTGCTTGCGCTTTATTGGTAGTCTTTACTTTGTTTTTTGTATCTTTATTCTGATGCAACTTCCTTAAAAAAATTACTAAATGCTAAACCAAAAACTAATCTCATTAACTGAAATGAGAGTATTCTAGGAGAAAAATGCCAGCTAACATTCAACATTTTATTATTTTCAGAATAGTTTCCCCACAATTATTCATACCACAAAATGTGACACTGATAAATATTTTGAAGAGTATGCAAAGAATCTCAGTAGCTACAATGAAGTTTAACTAATTTCAGAGTTATCCCACAGAAAAAACATCTGCATATTTTCTTTCATAAATCTGTTGCTTAGGATGTCATTTAAAACTGATACTGTGATACATATTGTTAAATTATTAATATATTGCTACAATTTCTATATAATAGGTGCAAGATATGAATCTGTGACAAAATATTCTGGAAGATATAGGACACTGTGGACTTTCATACCATAAATGTTGAGGGAGGGCCCTCTGACAATTTTTTTTAAGCAGAACTTTCTAATAGCAATAAGTAGGGAGCATGGTCCAAGGACATGTGAGGGGTGGCTGAGCCTCATGTTCTAACTGTCAAATTAGTCTGCAACTGCCGGTTTCTTCCCCCTCTATTCTAGTTGGAGTTCTTAGCTAGAATAAGCCTCAGGACCTCTCAACCAATGCTACCTAAAATTATTTAAAATAAATGCATTTTTGCTAATTGGTGTAGATAGGGAAGATTTCTTTTTAACGGGAAATATCACAGAGGTTTTTAAGAAGATTTTTTTCTGAAAGTTCTCATAAAAGTTGGAAAATTACAATTGTGAATGATATCCCCATCTTGACAATTCCCTGGTTCTGTGCTGAAAACATGGTCTGAAATTAATTCCCTTATGCTTTCTGTGTACTTTCCTTAGATTGCTATATGCTCTATTTTTTTACAGAAGAGCAGCAGATATACAGTATTAAAATAAGAATGAATAAAATATCTTGCCACATGGTAAGAGTGGAAGAGAAAGACTAGGAAGTCATAATATTTAACTTCTCTTAATTCAGTTATATCTTCATTTAATTAAACTGATGTTTAATGCTATACAAAACTAAATGTCATATAGGCCTCAAAAAATCCATAAACTAACTTTGACAACCAAATGAATTAACACAGTGAAGCAATGTTAACTCTATAATCTCATATTTTAAGAAACTTATGCATCTTCTCCCATGAAGACTTGTACAGTAGTTTAAAGTATTGATTGAAGCTTGTCTAGATTACTTTAAAAACATTTACAACAGAAAGAACAAGCATTCCTGCCAAAGATTCATAGAATAGGGACTGTCTATACAAATGGTTAGCCATCGGTGTCATCCTTACTGAAATAAATTGGAATCAATAATGCAAACCAGTACTTTTGGACATCCTTAAATTTATTTTTGGGAATGAGGGCTAAAACTAAGAATCAGGATAAAACTAATTAATACTAAGATAAAATGAGAAGGGCAAAACATGCTTTCTAAGTATAGTTAAACCACACGTTATGATTACTCTTGATTTCTACATTATGTGAATACTAATTGTAGCATGATTTTTGCTGGTGCTTGAGGATTTCAGATTATATTCTGATTAGTCGTAAAGGAATTGCTATGAGGTTAAACAGGAACAATTCCTGTTCGTACATCTTTCTAGGCAAAAATTACAAAATTATTCCTCAAATCTTTTTGCATTCATTTTGGAGTTCATGAAACTTTGTATTTGGGTGACCTTAGAAAACAAGCATCTTGTTAGATTGTTACTCTTCAGCATTTTATACTTTGAATAAAATATTGAATAATCAAAGCTTGGAATTTTAAACTTATGTCAAGGTAACATTATTCAGTTGGATCCTGGAAGATTTTTATGAATGGGAGAGCTTTTACTGTCTATGAAAGAGTACTGATATAACTGATATTCAATATTTTATTTGAAATGATGGTTTAATGGGTTAATTCTGGTGAAAGGAAAGGCAACACTTCCTTTTTCTCCAAAAGTTTAAGGTGCATTCTGGGTCTTGAGGATACAGAAAGGTCAAATGGCAAAAATCCCTGCTCCCTTTCTGCCAGTAACCTGGCAGTCTTGCGGGCTGCCAGTCAAAGAACAGTGCTGGCCAATGCTATGTCTGTTAGAGGGAACAGTGACCAGGTAGATGTATTTCCTAAGCAAGAACACTACTTCCTTCCAATGATATTATAAACTGGAAATCTCTGCTTGTTATAACCAGAATCTCCAGACCATTGTGAACAAGGTGAAATTATTTTTGAATTAGTAACTGGATTATAACTACAATGGATCTTATATTGAACGATTTCATAATCCACTTGTATAATTTCATAGATGCAATCTTGGGACTGAAATAATATAGCGTTGTATATAGAGACATTTGGCTTTTGGGGCAAACTGTTTTGAAGCAAGAAAGATGCACCTGTAACAAATATAATTTGCATAAAATGTGGAGCTCAGCTTTTTTCCTTCTGAAAAGAGCCATTTTTATCACCAGGTTAATTACAAATGCTTTAACAATAGGATGTTTCACGTTACTCTTATAATCTTATATATTATAATAGAAACATTCATATTAAATGGTTTGATGAAACACTCACTGGTGGGTTGGTGGGAATAATATTTTCTGTATTTATTGAGTTCTGTGATTCCAAAAGAATAAGCAGCACAATGGGCATCTTTTCCAAGTTTGCAAAAGAGAGCAGCCATGGTGGGATTTTTGTTTTTAAAGCAAAAATTATTATTTTTCAAATCTGTACATTGAGATGAATATTATAGAGTACCCTTCATTTTATTATAATAATAATAAAGATTTGACGGTTGAGGTGTTCATGTTTTTGAATTTCTGCAGTAAAATAAAGTTCCACAAAGGAATCTTTCAAAACTTTAGTCAGACTGAACATGTAAAGTGGGGTTTTTCCCAGAGATGATACTTTCTTCAGGAGGAGAAGCAGCCATGAGTCATGAAATGGATCAGAGTGACCCAGGATGAAACTAGTTTCTTCAAGGTTGAAGCAAGTAGCAACAAGTGTGGTTATAGCTGTGTTACCTTTCCAGACTGGAAATTCTTCCGCAAGGTTTGTTCAATTTCTAGGGCTGAATCTTTTTTTTCTTTTTCATTTTCTCTCCCTTTTCTGCCTCTGTCTATGTGCAACAGAGTTAGAAAGTTGAAAGCTAAAAAGATTGTCCAGGAATGTTCTTTCTCCATGCAATAAAGCAAGTATTTTCAGTATGGTTAATCCACACAATAGCATTAGCAGCAAATGACATCCATTCCTGACTGTTTCAGAATGTTGAGTGCTTCTGTCTTTCTGCATGTGTGTGTGTGTGTGTGGTCTGTTCATATTTTAAATAGTCCATATATGACAATATTCAGTATTACAAGATCAATATATTACTGTTGAAAACATTGTTTTGTGATTTTTTTCCTCTTTTTATATAAAAAAAATAATAAAAATAAACATTTATCTCACTATTATTTACACAGTCCATGCGTGTGGAATCACTGCAAAATAAAACAAAGTAATGCATGTTTTAATACAGGCAGGCAGGCACTTTTCTCTCACACACTGTTTAATTAAAATGCAGTTTCTTTAAATATATCCTTAAAGAGCAGTAAACAAGGCATTTTTGAAATGCTGTTAGGGAACATGTAGACAAGCCTTAAAACATTATAAAGAATCTATATTCTCAGAGTTCACGGCAGATGTATGAAGCACATTTCCTATTTCTCTTTCAAAGACAAATGGCAAAGTATATTTTAGAAATAGGAACATGTCATTTACATATGTTTGATAAGATTTGTGGGAAGATAGCAAGGACACAAAAAGGAGATTGTAGAAGTCATCCACTATCTGTGTTTTGCTGCTGGGTACTAAAATTCAAAGTAGCAAAATTAATCTTGTTATTTTGATGGTGAATAATTGTGCTTTTCAACCTCAAGGCAATTAGAAGGTCTCTCTTACTTATAAAGATCAATGTATGTGAATCAAAATGTGGGTAAAAAATGTTTTATGTTAAGGAGGAAAGTGGTTGCTTCTCCTCCTTCCACTTGCATAAGCCAAGTTCATGGACTTTAAAACAAATGGTTAAAAGCACATTAAAAATAAATATAAAAACAACTGAAAAGCAAGGTGCAAAATCATACTGAAACTGAAGTAAAGGCAGATTTTTATGCATTGCACATAATTGTTATTGTTAACTATAATTTGAAATTCGACAAAGATAGGAAGTATTTCTCTGACTTAGTCCTCTTTTATATTGGTATTAATACACTGTCCTAAGCCCTTTTCAGCTGTTATGAAAATGAGAAAATCAACTGCATTCAAGGCTTGAGTGTATTAGCCTTACTTTCCCTATGAGGAAGCTAAACACCTGCAGTGGAAAGTCTCTTCTATCCAATGAATATCTCCTTCTTAGTGGTTTCGGAAAATCAGAATACTTAATCATATGAAGAGCCTCTCCATTCTACACATGGAAAGCAATACAAATGGGTCATCCCAGAGCAAATCAACAAGGCTATGAAAGCACAAAGATCCAGATTTACTTCAGTTTATTGTTTACAATTGAATATACTGTGTTATCTCTCTTGCTTAACAACCATCCAAATTCAGGACAAAAAAATATATAAAATACATTTGTAATACCTTGTGCCAACATCCTGGTACTGGTAATCCATCTGGACCCTGTAATGAAATAAAAAAAATCATTTTATATTATTGGAAAACAGCTAAGAAGCAAATGCCACTTCATGATGATTCTGGAAAGTCTACAGCAGCTATTATAAAGGGCAGCTAACGTGAAGACCCATACAGAAATCATGTGCTGGTTTGAAAAAAAACATTGGAATAAACAATGTTTCATTAGTTAATAGCCATTAAAAAAAATCAAATCTCTGGATTCTCCCATGCATTTATCTTCTCAAAGTGTTTTGATTTATGGAATCACATGAATCTTTGAGGCAGGAAAAGCTATAGCATAGCTAAATTAAATCCGCCTGTGCAGTCTGTAGGAAGTACTATTGAATTTAACCCCACAGCAGGTTCTGATAGAAGTTTACAAAGGCTATATCCTGATAAGAGTGGGAACAATGATTAGGAAAATCCAAGCATTTTTTAGTTTTTTTTTATTATTATCCTCCATGTCTATGTTTTCAGTTTACAACTATCAATTGGTGGAGGGACACACTTGATACATTAGCTATATAAACATGTCAGGGCTCTGACAAATCCACCTCTATTCAAATCATAAGTCTAGCCGCATCTCTCAGAGTAAAAAATAAATAAATGATTTATTCGGAGTGACCATGTCGGCATTACCTGGGTGCAGCCAACACTAAGACAAATCATTCATTTCCTCCTTGACCCTAGTCTTTCCCCCACCCCCTGGATGTATATTTTCCAATGGGACACATCCATAGCTAGGAGTTATCAATCATGCTTTCCAGTAATAATATTGCACAATAGCTTTGGGCTGCCAAGGTGATTATATGAAGCATTTCAGGAATGCACTACTTCCCCCCCACTCCCTTTCTACTGGCAACTAAAAAAGACCAAAGAAGTATTTTTTAGTTGACACATTACAGCAGCTATGCACAACATGCTCAAAAGCTCCTCAATCAATTTTGCACAAACAAGATGCGCTTCATAAAGCTTGTGGCATCTAGATAAAAAAGGCTGGAATAAAATACAGTAAATGGAACTTGACATCAGATATTAAGATTTGCAATTTTCTCCTAAGAATCTGATGGGGTAAATTAATGGCAACCACTAAAGCTGATGCATCACTGATTACAAAATCTGAGGAACCAGAGCAGAGCCGAGTTTAAAAAAGACAAGGCAAATAGAACAACTAAAATCAACCATGATATTCATAGAGGGAGGAGACCAGAAGACAGGACTGACAAAGCAGACCTAATTGGGAAGAGGTGAATTGGAATATCCTCCCAATCTAGGATTTTGTTGAGATTTTCAGAGTTTGTCCCGAATGTAGCATTAGCTGTTTTATGTAGTTCAACCAACACAAACTTATAATAATTCAAGATTTGTACTGTTCAAAGAGACAATGGTGGGATCCAACAAAACTGAAAAATACCTTATGAAGCAAATAGCTTGTTAGGAAGTAAAATGGTGATTTGAAATGGCTCAGATTTAGACTTAAAAAGGAATGTCCTGGTGCTTTGAATCATCCCCATTTCCCAGTAATTATTAAGATGTGACAACTATACTTCTGTGAATCAGGCAATCAGCCCAATCAAAACTACTTTTTCAGAGCCAAAGCAAAGATAGAGAAGAAAGAAAAAGTGGGTACCGCAGAAACCAAGGAACACTTAATATTAACAAAGGGAAAATAGCCATACATTATGAACATTTGGTTGAATATTACTGCTAAAACACAAATCTCACTGCAGCAACATATAGCGTGTGAATTAAATGTTGTCTTTGACAACATCCTGTGTGAAATCACAAGTCAACTTGCTCAGATGTTCTTAAAGCACATGGGTGTAAAACTCAATTGCGTCATGCGATGTATTGCACTGTTTTTTGCTTTTGCGGAGCCAGGGTGAGCGTGGCCTGCATGTGACGTACAACAGATTCTGCTTTTAAAATATTTTAAACACACACACACCCCAATAATTTGCCTTTGTGACTGGCTGCGTTATAGAATTTTGTTTCCTATACTCAAACATAGTAAGATGCTGATCCAAACTTTGAAATTTTTTTAAGATGGAGTACATAAATCCCAACTGAAAGATTTTGAGAAAGGTGCCACCCTCTGTGAAAGAGAAAGATAGTTTCCCAGACTGGGAGGAAGGGAGAACATGGGAAGATGTCAAGCAGAAAAAGTCATGCAGGAGGAGGAAGGAAGAGAAAGATACTGTACCAAAGGACACAGCATTTCCACACCATCCAGTTCTGGTAAATTTGGCTCCCCTTTAAAAATGAACTGTTAATTGAAAATGGAGAGAAGATTAATAGGAAAGGAAGAAGGAACAGAAATAAAGAAAAATTCCGTGGTTGACTGAAACCTTATAGCTAGAGTGGTCAGCCTCCTAAGAAGAGGCCTAGTGATAAAGTGATGTGACCCAACAGAGCTGTCCAATTTTTTTCAACTCTAACCTTTTTTGTGTGTGTGTTCTGTTTTAAAGGGAGGACCAGGAGCAGAAAGGAGGCAAGCTGTTCCATTTCTTCTCAAAAACCTACATTTGGGGGGAGGTTGGGTATCTTAAAGAAGACAATGGAAGCAGTTTGACTTTCAGAGGCCTCCTACTCCTTCTGCCATCCTTATTTTTGGAGGTCGGGGGCAAGGAACCACAAGAATAGTGTCCTTGGAAATGGCATTTTGGTGATGTGACCAAAATTAGAAGCCACAACCAAGGGACTCCAAAGCTGACCACAGCCTGTTGGCTACCCACTTTTGCTATAGAGGCTTCAGGATAAAACTGACAGGTGACAAGAGGGAACAACAAAGGCCTTTCTGTTTTTTAATGAAGCAAGGCTTTATGTGGTATTGTCCTAAAATGACATGCGAGGAATGTGGCTTTCAGGATGGCTTTAGCCATCTGTTCAATATTAGGGAGCAAAACACACATTCTAGTCTGTGGCATAAGAAAGGCCAATAATCAGAAGTATTAGCATTCACTTAGACACTTTGTTTCAAACAATCTCTCTCTCCAAAATGTTTTGAAATAGTTTATACTAACGTTTTCAAGCGCATCAAGAATATCCCCCCCCCCCCAATAAAATCATACCACGGGGCAAGGCTGATCTAATCCAGGAGGGCCTGGTTCTCCTTTTTGTCCCTTTGCTCCTTTTCTGCCTGGCAATCCTCTTTCTCCCTGTTGACATTAAAATAAAGAGATACATATATTCTTAAAGAATTTGAATGACAAATGTCTCAAATGTCACCTAGCTGAATTCTACTTTGCATAATAGAATGATTTATTTGACTTAAATGACTGACATGGCTTCAGACCCTT